CCTAAGGTTGGGCTCAGGGAAAAGTGAAAATTTAGAATTTGAGGATTCAGGTTACTCAACAGCAACCTGTATTATCTTGAGGCTGGATGAAATGCAGATAGTGATCTAGCCCACTTGCTAGGATAAGAGATAAGGAAAAACCAAGGTACAGAGGGGTAAAGGCATTTCTCCAGAGTTCATGCAGTATATTATTTCCCAGTGCCCACTGATACAAATGACTGCTGCCCTGAGGGGCATCTAAGGGCCTTTCCTGGGTCTGGCTGAGATGAAGTCAGCTAGTGATTCTAATTGGTATTTGATAATACCCCTTCTCTGGCACATCGGTGCTTCTCTCTGGCTACAGCATTTGTCTAAAGGACTGCATCAGACACCATGCTGGCTGGGTGAATCAGAAACCAGACAAGTTCCCAGGAAGTTCTCTTTTCTTTTATAAATAGCTTGGGCCTGATTTTGCCATTTTAATTCTTTAAAGTCACAAAATAAAAAGTTAACCAGAAATGGTTTAGAAATAAAACCCCTGTACATATAATAACTGGTGCTTTTATATTTACCTAAGAATCAAACTTCCTAAAACAAGCCAAACTACTTGAAGCTGGATTCTGGTGCCTTAAACACCACGACCTTTGGTGATCCAGCATAGTGACACGAATGCTGCTAGTATTTTCCTCTTTTAATAGACAAATGTAACCAAACATTCACTAATGTGGCAAAGTTCAGAATAAGCTATGTCTAATGATCAGAAAGCCTCAATTACAGAATATCTTCAAAAAAACAGAGTTGGTGCTTCTTTGAAGTTAAAAAAAAATGAAAAAAAAAAAAAAAAATAACAAAAATTTAAAAAAATGAAAAAGATAACAAAAATAAAAAAATAAAAAAGAAAGAAAAAAGAAAAAAAGTTTAAATAAAAGATTTACTGTGAACTTCAACATTATGGGTACTATATGCATATCATGGTAACTGGCAGCAGCAAATATTCTCGCATTAAATGTGGATAAAATGATTTATAATTACTACATCAACTGTTTCCTGAGAAACGGGCACTTCTGAAATGAATAAGGACATCTAAGAACAGTTTTATGTAGCAATATGTGTATAGCATATGACAATTTTAAAAGCGTATTTCTATATCATAATATCTTTCATTCTCACAACAGAACTGCTTATCCAGAGTTATACTGAGATAATGAAACTCAGAATGGCTGGAGAACAGCGGACGCGGGACTAAAAACCAGGTTTTCTGCTTCAAGATTCGTATCTCACACTGACCCCAGAATCTCTTCGTAGTATCCATCATTCCCTTATTTAATCCTCTCTTCCCAATCACCAAAGGAGAGGTTCTGTACCAGCTCTAACAAACAGATTACAAATTCTAAAATAAAAAGTTCAAATTAATGGAGTTCTCTTGGAAACAGAAAAACGGGCTCAACATTTCAAAAGGTCCCTCTCAAGGCTTAGCCCTCTAAAGTATTTGCTAAATGCTAACACAACTGCAAACCACAGAAACTTCATTAATGACGCACTGAAACTCAACAGCAAAATTTGTTTACTAAAAAGATAAAAAAGAAGTCAGATAATGAAAGAGATTTATTCAAATAAGGACTATGAAAACATGTCTAAGCTCAGAAACATCAACTTTTAAAATAAAAACTAAACTGGTATCCAAATCCTCCATCCGTCTTGCTTACTACAGAGCATGTATATTAGCTTTGGATGAATGGAGTCTGAGATTTGGCACTTGGTACATTTTCAGGGTGTAAGAAACACATTCTGCACATACAGCTCCTTTTAAAAGAAACTGAGAAGGCAGATGCTTGCTTATATGATGAGAAAACGTGCCATCAGCCCTACCTCATCCAGTTTCCCTAATAGCTTTTGTGACAAATTTCAGTTTACAGAAATTGTATTTCAAGAAGCTGTCCTTCCTTGCTGCAGTCACGTAGTCAGAGTCATAGTGCACATGCTGGTGTGGGAACATCACGCTGGCAGAGGGAGGGCAGCTGGTGCCAATGTCTCTAAAAGCAGCCCCATGTTAACCTGCCAGGTCTCATGTTCTTCATCTCCTGTGGAAGCCCAGGTTTTGTCTGGAACAGAAAACCAACTAGCTTCTTATTGAGAAGGAAGTTCCAAGAAAGCTCACTCTGGAATGAACACACTTTGGAAGTATCAATAAGACAGGAAAATAGATTATGTCTTTGTATGAGTAAAAAGTAAGTCTAGATATGTTTCAGATCCTTTTCAATAAATGTTTGGAGTCATAAGAACTGAATGAAATGATGAGAAAATGGAGGGACGAGAGAACTGTTACGTGTGTTATTAATATGCCGACAAGATGCCCACAGTACAAACTTTACATGCATCTAAGCCTTCTGCCCTAAAAAACAGCAAGATTGAATGGAAAAAGATTGGTTAAAATAAGAGGAAGGTAAGAAGAACTTCAAGGAAAAAGGAAAAAAAAGGAAGGAAAAAGAAAAACCCAACCTCAAACCTAAGCATGCAGGTGCCTGAGTTATTACAGTAGCTCCTGGCAAAGTGACAGAGTGAAGTTTTATAAGGAAACTCTAAGGGCAATGAGTCAAGGTGAGTCAAAGTATGCAAAGCAGGAAGGCCTGCCAGTGCAGGCACTGTTCCCAAACACATCTCCTCACCGGCTCGACCTCGAGTCAGCAACAGCAGCATGGGGACCCTTGGACCCGAGCGCGGCTAAGTTTATTTTAAGCAGGATATATTTTCTGCTCTTTTCCCGTGGGCAATTTAAAAGGCCTCATACCTGAGAATTTTCTCTCCTAAATTTCCAATTTTGCAGGAAGAAAAAGATCTCCCAAGAAAACAGTAAATAGTAAATCAATTACTTAATTTTGTTCACTTACACTTCTTAGGACTCACTTTAAAGACAGGTATCTTCCAACTGCAGAGTCAGAGAGTGCATGCCAAGACACCAGGGACAGCTTGGCATTTCATTTAAATGCCAAGTCCAAATATGTACTGCCTCACGAAAACAACTGATATCATCTCTATGTAAAAGAACATCAGGCCAGGTACGGTGGCTCATGCCTGTAGTCCCAGCTACTCAGGAGGATTGCTTGAGCCTGGGAGGTGGAGGTTACAGTGAGCACACGTTGTACCACTGCACTCCAGCCTGGGTGACAGAACGAGACCCTGTCTCAAAAACAGAGTAAAATGAAACAAAATAAAAAGAACACCATTTTAATTTCACTTTTTGAACATGTATTCTCATTAAGGAGAAGCAATTATGGTTTAAAAAAGTTAGCACAAGCCAGTGGCCCCTTAAAGGAGACAGAAAACCTAGCTAGTATCTCAGTTCTGCCATTAGTAACTGCTGTGCACACAGTTCCTCCAGGACAAGCTTGTCCAACCCGTGGCCCAGGATGGTTTTGAATGCAGCCCAACACAAATTCATAAACTTTCTTAAAACATTATGAAAATTTTTTTTGTAATTTTTTTAGGCCCATCAGCTATCATTAGTGCATTTTACATGTGGCCTAAGACAATTCTTCCAGGATGGCCAAAAGATTGGACATCCCTACTCCAGGACCTTCCTTCCCCACTTGGGAATCACTATGTTGATCATGCTAGCTCAGCTGGTCTTCACGTTTTTTAAATGAGTTATTATAAATGAAAAGTGCTTTGTTCAAATATGAGTGATTATCACCATCATGCAACCAAGCTAGGTTTCGGAAACCCAGTTATTATAGTCTGAAAACACACCCATCCCCTGTGTACTGTGTGCTGTTTTCTTGGACTAGCAGGTGGAGAGACCCAGTCTGAGGACAAGACCCTTGCCCTTGCTGAGCTACAACTGTGGCAGAGGTTTGAAGAGGTCAAATCGGTCCCTGCTCAAGCAGCCACACAAATGCCAAACAGAACTATGATCTAGGGTCTGACTCTTAATGTAGATGGAAGAGCTGCATTAATTATAACTCCCTTATTCCATGAGTGTGCTCACACGAGAATCACACATGAGCCAAGAGATCAAACTGAGCAAGTAGCTACGTCTTACTGGGGTGCAGCCCATTACCTGGCAAGCTAAGTTTTCTGACGTTCTAATACATGATTTTGTTTCCCACAGTTCCTTTTACTGAAGGATGTCACTGAAATCATTTGTATCAGGACAGCTCCAGCCACCTCCCGACTCTCTGCAGGCTTCCAGCTACTTGAAAGCCTGGTGAGGCACAGGGGCTGGACAATCCAACAAGTAACAGGCTGAGCTTTTGCTGAGTGCACACCCTCTGTGGCATGTCTGTAGGACACAGACACGTCCTGCTGCTCTCCACCAGGCAGCTGAGGTGCCAATGCCAGGAACTGCAGGGATGGCCTGCTAGCATTTTAAATATGCAAAAGTGAGGGGAAGAGGCACGGCAGAACTGCCTGTACTCGGTCTCATCTTGCAGAGAGAAGCACACTGAAAAGCCGGGAGGGGGGAAGGTCAGTACAGCAGCGTGCTACCCACTGTTGGCAGGCGCGGGGCTGGAACCATCCCTGGCCATCTCATTTAATTCTCATGAGGAACTTTGTGGAAACACTCATTCCTATTTTACACACAAGGAAATGGGAGGCTCAGTAGGTGAAATGACTGGGCCACAGACCTGGAGCAAGGAGGCGCTGGTTCTGGGACTTGCATGTCAAAGCTGATCTCCACCTCCCACAGCAGACTACCAGAGGCCAAATGCCAGAAAGCAGCAGCAGACCCTCCCCTTTCACAAAGGCAGCAGGAAGCCGGGACATGGAACACATCTCAGGGACAGGGCAAGCCTGTCGGACACAGTGAGGAGCTGGGAGCTGAACAAATGGCACTGGCCTGGGAAATGCACCGCTGCTCAGCAAGGCAACAGCAATCGGGACTCCACTCTGTATTATGACACGGCCGAGTTCCAAGGAAGGGGCCCTTAAGCTGTGCACTGATTCTGACTCGTCTATCTCCACATCCCAACTGCTCCCCACGACCCATCTGTTCAGCACCCCTGGCCACAGGACTGACTCACCTCCTTATGGGAGTCTTTGTGGGCTTCCAGAGTCTTCATAATCGTCAGCTCAGCGTAGTTTTTAAATCTTGCTGGTTGATTTCTCAGAATTTCCCTCAAAACTCTCAACGCCAGTGCTCGAATTGAATGCTGGAGTACAAGGGGAAAGGAAGACATCACCAAATGTCACACAGCACTTTCACACACGGCAGTCAACAGGGCCGGCAAGGCCAAGACCCACTTCTGGGTTCCCTGGAACCCTGCAGAACCCTCTACACAGATCACAGTGATCAGCTCCATGAAGGCAGGCACTGTGCCTTAGGGTGACATTCCCAGGATTTAGCACCTGATAGGCACTGAAAAAAGCTTGAACAAGCCATACACTCGAGATCAAATGAGGATGCGACACCTAAGTTCATTATCAGTTTTCTGGGGATTTCCAGATTTCCTGAGGCTTCAGCCTACAAATTATCCTTCTGTAAAATGTAGGAAAGGATGTGTACAAAGCACTTGGATGTTTCATCAACACAGCCTGTAAGACTGTGAACTCCCTATGGACAGCGGAAGGCCTGTCGTTATTCTGACCTTCCATGTGATGAGATCACTGGGTGTGTGTACATGCCTCGAGTTGGTTAAGGCCAGAGTCATGCATCTGGAGGAAAGCCATTCCAAACAGACTCCTAATCTCAATAAAAAAGAATGGCGTTTACACCAAACAGAGCCAGAAAGTACATCCTGATTCTTTGTCACTCATCTGTACAATTCACACACTAACACACTATTTACCTGTCCTCTATATGACATCACTTTATCTCCCAACAGAGCCGACAAGGCATAACTGCCTTACGAGCCAAGACTTTGTCTTTTTTTTTTTTAAAGTAAAACAGTTTACTTATTACCATTCTTCTATCTTTACTTATCCCTAAACCAAACCATTAATCCGAAGCATCAGAAAGCTATCTGAGTCACCATGGCACGGCGTGCAGCAGCCTTCCTGTCACTTGGCTGCCATGCAAGTCCCCTCTAGTTTGCCCTGGGCATGGTCTGTCACCTCCTGGCAATCCTCCCCATCTCTGTCTTCCAGCTCCTCACCACAGCACTCTCTTTTCATTTCTGCCGGCCTACACAAAGCCAGTGTGGGCAGATAAGGTTTTTCTTGTAGAGGTTTAATTCTGGCAATTCCCAGCATCTGTCCTATGTCCATATAAGGCACCAGCTCCAAAGGTAAGAGAACGCAGGACATCGACTAGATGACTCCCCCTTTTAAGAGTTCTCAATGTGCCACATGCAAATAACAGATCAGACCAAGCATGTCACAAATACCTAGTTTGTCACATTCAAATGTCCCAGCGTGACGAAGCTTTTTTTATTTTAAAATTAATAATACAAAAGTAAGAATCATACTTCTAGAAACTGTCACTTGATTGATTAAAATTATTGGAACTGAGAACATATGTAAGGGGGAACCAAGATGGAATTTCATGGAATGTAGCATTTAATTGGGTCTTTAAAAAAATGAAACTTTTTCTCAATTACACATGAAACAAAAATGAAACTCACAAAAAAAAAAAAGTGCATCCTAAAAGACCACATTCTATGTTAATGAAGTTTTAAGAAATTCTGTGTTAAAGCAACTAGATGCAGGAATGAAGTTTCCTCAACTACCATAAACCCAGCTGCAGGCTACACACATATGCCAAGCAGCACCTTGTTGCTGATAAAAACACTACCTTACTAAACGTGCTCAGAAAATATGTGAAAAATGAATAAATACATGTTTTGATGTAAACAGTAAGCACAACCCGGAAAGTAAAGCTGGAGCCAACCCCAGTGAGAAAAGGACATTGTGACCCCATTACATGGAAAGGGGCAAGCTAAGGCCAAACCAGCATCTCACGTCTTTGTCTCCAAGGGTCTCCAGCAGCAGGAGCAGAATGGTCTTGAAGTGCTCCTCCCAGACGCCAAGGCTGTCTTCCCGTGTGATTTTGAGCAGCTCCAGCAGGGCTCCTTTCCGTTCCTCCACCCGCTCGTTGTGGTTGGACAGTTCTTTCAGAAGGTCAGCCACCAGGTCAGAATGGTCGATGGGCACTGGTGAGACAAACCAGACATACATTACCTTGCGAGGAAATAGCCGGCACAGGGGCTCCCTCAGTGGTGCCCAGCGATCCTTCTCTTCCCCCCTCATCTCCCAGAGGTAACGCCTCCTTCACCGTTCCCCTCCCGCCCTCCACCCTGCTTCGCTGTCCATCCTCAGCCTACACACCCTCAGCCAACCTTCTCACCAAGTTCACTGTGAAAGCAGAGGTGCGAGACCAGCTGTCCAGCACCAACAGTCAATGTCTTCGCCCTTCCTTGCTATCTTTTTCCTTCTACTTCAGACAAGAGCAATGCCTGTATCTGCCAAAGGAGGGCCTCAACCCTCTTATTTTCCAAAACTCTCTCCCACTGCCACGGTCCTGAGTCAGCCCCACCACTGGACAGCCTCTTACCAGGGTCCAATCCACTCCCGTACACACATTCTCCTCAAGGCCTCCTCACCATCACATCTGATTATCATCCATTCCCTTCTCAAATGTCTACAGCTTAGGAACCAGCATGGTGAACAAATACCAATCAAGGTGTTTGGACTACTGGCGGACTATCTATGTGGAGAGTAAAAACTGGCCCAAGATGACTCAACATAGTTACCTGTAGGGCTGTGAACACGGTTTCTATGGCAGAAAGGCACATCCTTTCTCCTCCATGTTCTTTTAAGAAACCTCAACTCTGAATATTCAACTTTAAATAGAGAGGATGGAAAAACAAACAAATCAGACAAGTTATTAGGAACTACTTAAATGTGTATTTGCATATTTCTTTAATTTCTAAGATTGGGTAGCAAACACACAAGAAGGTCTGAAATGGTAAAGAACTCTGTCATTTCCTCCTGCCTTTTTCTTTAAGTCTTTTAGCACACAGTTGGTGAATAACCAACACTGTCATTTCTACTTTAATCGAGATCTATAAAGGAGAAGGTAAATAATTCTATAAGCAATGAAAACAAATAGTCCACTTCTCCCAGGAAGTGCCGGTCATTACAAACACTATACCCTATTAGCTTACTGCCCAGTAAACAGATGTGTGGGCAGAGTTTGAGATACTACCCACCAGCATATAAGCAATTAACAGCCAAGTGATTAGGCTTTTTATCCCTACAGCCATTTCTGCTTTCAGACAGTTAGAGAACTTCTCTCCTACCTTAGCATTCCCCTACTGTCTGATCCTTGCAAAGATCAGCTTTCTTTTCTTTGTGCCCCCATTGGCTCTGGCATCTGCCTCCACCACAGGCAGTCTCTGGTACTAGTGTGACCACTATCAGTCTGCTCCCCTGACAGACCTTGAGCTCTCTGAGGCCACGGACCATGTCTCATTTACCTCGGTCCTTGGCAACCCATACACTTCATGACATACAGTAGGCCCTCAGTGAATGTTAACTATTTAGAATTCTAATGTAGGTTCTAATTATTCATCCAAACTTGAGAAATAAAATAGGCTTCAAAACAATTTTTTAAAAGTACTATCAAATTGAAATAACTAAATCATGTAACATGAGAGGTGAAAAAATAGACAAAAACACCATTGTACCATGTACAAAAATATATATTCATCATTCACTGGTTTATTCAGTAATAGACACTGGTCTTAACATAGGAGCCAGAAAGAAAGCAGACTAGCTCTGCTTCTGCTCCATAATTCCTATGTTATATGCTTATGTTACATTTTGGGAAAATCCTTCTGACCCAACATGTAGCTTGGCACCACACATGATAATCCATGTGCTCAGTGTATGTCAGACCCCTGCCTCCCAAATGTAGCATGGAGGTCAGCACAGCTCCAGGGAGAGCTGGTTGCAAAGCCGATGTGAGGGAAGCCTTGGAGCAGTGCTTCAGGATCTCACTCCACAGCTCAGGAGCTGGGACGTGCAGGCCCAAGGCCTTCACGAAGGCTGAGCCCATGCTCGCCATCCTGTTTGCTCCTCCGCCCTTTGACTGCCTGTGTCCTGGGTCCTGCAGCAAAGCTTCCCTGAAGGTAGAGGTAGCCTTTCCTCATGCACAGCTGTTCATATCACGTGTGACTGGTTATTTCCTCACTGCCCCGTGACCTGTGCTCTTGTTCATTGTCATGTCCCCCGTGCCCAAGCACAAGGTAGAGATGCAGTAAGTAGTGCCTGAACAAATGACTTAAGCAGGAAGAACAGACCCAGTGTCTCCATTTACATCTGACCAGTGGGCCTGGTGCTGGCCAGACAGGAGGGAGCACATGGGAAGCACTCCTGGATGGGGACAGTTAAGCAAAGAGACACCAACCGTCTCGAAGCTGCTCCATGTCATCGTCGAACACAGCCTCCTTCAGGGCGGTCTTGTCGTAGGTGTTGATGGCATCTGAGTAGGGGTACGGGCTGTACTCTCGCGCCCGCGGCCCCGGGAAGGCACGCGGAGGCTGGGTGTTGAGTAGCGAGGTCTTGTTATCCAGAGCTGTCCGGCCTCCTTCTACCTCGCTGCCCCCCCGGCCCTCGGTGGCAGGAGAGGCAGCGCCCCCATCGCGGGACACCTGGAGCACAGCACACTGTCAGTTCCCTTCTAGGACTTGTAATGGACATTTCCTTTGAATGCTCAGAAATATTCAGAGGGCCAGAGATTTTCACTTGAAATATGTACGGCCAGTGGCAAAAAGACAGCTATTAGTATTCCAACGTAAAAACACCAAATCCATAAACTACCGTAAAAGGAACAATAGGCCTGCATTTGTATCTAGTCTTTACACTTCAAATCTGCTTTACTTTGTAAATGGGTGATTCACTTTACCAAGATGTCTTCTGAGGGATACCATGCAACTCAGAAGGACCCTGAGAAGGAAAGGCTGCCCACTCACACCACTGCTCTCAAGGACCACACCAGCAATCGGGGCTTCTCACTGCAGCCCTGCCCCTAATTAATTCCTTGTACTATGTGTATTCCCGCCTAGTGCTGGGCCCCAACGCTTCACAATCTCCTGTGACAGAGAACCCAGCACTTCCTAGGCAGATCATTCTTCTTTCAGATATTTCTAATTCAGAGTCGTTACGCTGGATCAAAGAACAGGTCTTAAGTATTTTCCGAATTTTGTTTTTTTCCCTAGTATATTCTGAATGTTGTCTTCAACAAATTCAACCGCTGGCCCTCTAACTGGCCCCTTGCCATGGTATTGACCCCTTCGCTCTTATGGTCCTCTCCTATGGGGCAAACCACTGGTCTAACCCCTTTGCAGGTGGCACTGTAGCCCAGCAGGTGTGGGCTGGCTGCTGGCAACGGGGCCAGACTGCTTTCCTCATCCCAGACATCTGACTACCCGACAATGGTGGAAACATTCCAGGCAGCCAGAACATGCTGGTGATTCCTATGGCAACATTTTTACTTGTGCTGATGACAAGATACATTTCTCTCATTTTGTGCTAATGCATTTACACTTTTTTCCAGTTGTGGAAAAGTAGATGTAACATATTTTAATAATTTAGAATTCAGTGACATTAAATACATTCATGATGTTGTGTAACCATCACCACTATGTAAACCCCAAAACTTTCTCATCATCCTCAATAAAAACCCTGCACCCTCATCCCTCTCCCTTTTTCTGCAACCCCTGACAACCTTTATTGTACTTGTCTCTCACAATCTGCCTATGGTAGGTACCTCAGATAAGTGGAACTGCTGAACACATTCCACTGTGTGTATACACTACATTTTGTTGATCTGTTCATCTGCTGATGGGCACTTGGGTTGCTTTCTTCTTTTGGGTCTTGTGAATAATGCTGCTATGAAACACTGGTGCACAAATATCTGTTCAAGTCCCTGCTTTCAATTCTTTTGGATTTGTATCTAATGGAGGTGCTGGGATGTGTTTGGTTTTTAACACCCACAAACAAAATTTTATATTAATTTAATTAAGATGTAAAAAGTAGTTCTTTAGAGAAGTATGAGAACCGACTAATACAACATCCTCCCTAGGCACCACAACTAGCCACAGGTCTCCTGGATGCTGATCCTGTGCTCATCTGTCTGCCTCTCCGATGACACTGGAGCTCCCAGAAAGCCATGGTGGTGTCTGGTTCAGACTCACCATTTTTATCACATCATGAAACAAAACTATGTCCACAATGAGCAAAAGCAAACTGAGAAAAAAGGCACTTAACATTCCTTGACAAGATAGCTGAGGGTTACTCTTTTGAAATTTTATAAAATTAATTACCTTGGACCTTTCAATACTATTTTATGGTTATTAGCAAAAAGACAAAAAACAACAAAGGTGAGGATGTGGAGAAAAGGAAATTCTTATATACTGTTGGTGAGAAAGTACATTAGTATAGCTGTTATGGAAAACAGTATAGTGGTTTCTCAAAAACCTAAAAATGGAACTACCAAACAACCAACAATTCCACTACTGGGAATTTATCCAAAGAAAAGGAAATCAGTATATCAAAGAGATGCCTACACCCTCTTGTTTATTATAGCACTGTTCACAATAGCCACGATAAGGAATCAATCCAAGTGTACATCAACAAGTGAATGTATAAAGAGAATGTGGCATATATACACAATGGAATACAATTCAGCCATAAAAAGAAATGAAAGGCTATCATTCACAGCGACACAGATGAACTGGAGGACATTATATTAAGTGAAATAGGTCAGGCACGTTAAGACCAATATCATATGTTCTCACGTATTTATGGGAACTAATAAGAGTTGAGCTCACAGAACTAGTGAGTAGAAGTGTGGTTACTAGAGACTGGGAAAGGTGGGGTTGGGAGGAAAAGAGGCTGGTTAATAGCTACAAAATTACAGCTAGGTAAGAGAAATAAGTCCTAATGTTCTATAGCAGGAGTCCCTAACCCCCAGGCCATAGACTGGTGTTGGTCTGTAGCCTGTTAGGAACTGGGCCACATAGCAGGAAATGAGCAGCAGGCAAGTGAGTGAAGCTTCATCTTATTTACAGCCTCTCCCCATGGTTCACATCACTGCCTGAGCGCCACCTCCTGTCAGATCAGTGGCAGCATTAAGTTCTCACAGGAGCGTCAACTCTATTGTGAACTGTGCATGCCAGGGATCTAGGTTGTGTGTTCCTTATGAGAGTCTAATGCCTGATGATCTGTCACTGTCTCCCATCACCCCCAGACAGGACCATCTAGTTGCAGGAAAACAAGCTTAGCGCTCCCACTGATTATACACCATAGTGAGTTTTATAATTATTTCATTATATATTACAATGTAGTAATAATAGAAATAGAGTATACAATAAATGTAATGTGCTTAAATCATCCGCAAACCATATTCCCGTCCCCTGGCCCGGTCTGTGGAAAAATTACCTTCCACAAAAACCGGTTCCTGGTGCCAAAAAGGTTGGGGACTGCTGCTCTATAGTGCCGTGGGGTAAATACAGTTAACAACACTTTATTGTGTAATTCCAAAACACTAGAAGAGAGAATTTTTCAATGTTCCCAACATAAAGAAATGATAAATGAGCTGACGGATGTGCTAATTACCTTGATTTGATTATTATACATTCTATACATTATCAAAATATCACTTTGTATCCCATAAATGTGTACAATTATTACATGTCAACTAAAACTAAAAGGAAAACATTATTGTAACTACAGGATAAAAATAATGATGAAGTTGAGTAATCGTGATGGTCAGTGTTCAGAAGTCTCAATATCCATAATCTAACTAATACAGAGTTATCTCTTAGTCTAGGGATACTTACAATATCACATTCCTTTTTGCCATCTCGTTTAATTGGCTCATTCAGATCTTCCTGGCTTCGAAAACTAAACTTTTCAATGGCTTCTGTAACTCCACGTAGAGAACTATAGATTTCTTCAGAGTTCAGGTTCTCTGTATCATAGTCCAGCATGCTAAAGATCAAAAATATTTATTTCTTAAAATGAGGAATATACATAGAACTGAGATATGGGTGTAAGTTACTTCTAGTAATTTATAGAGTAAGACATATTTATAGTTTTGTTTATTGGGTGATTTGGAATGAAAAGGAGACATCTTTTATTAGAGTACCACCACTGGACAATTACACATCTTCCTTGTCAAATCTGCCAAACACATTACATCAGCACTCAATAAAAACCAGTGGGAAACAACAGTAACCACGAGAATGTAGGAACTCAAAGAGTGACACTGGTGACTGAAGGCACAAGATAATGAAAGTGGAAAAATAACTTTCTTATTTTGAAGATGAAAAAAAAGAGTTTGGTTGTTACTGGTCTCAAATGTACAAACTTAGGAGGAATGGGCAGTTGGAAATAAAGCTAGTAGTACAAACAAATTTCAAAGGAGCAAAGTAAATGACCTCACAAGACTAGGCTATACTCCCAGGTATTCAATCCAGAAAACAAATAAAACCCTATTAAAAACAAAACAAGCTTAGACTCAAAGTCAGATCCACCCTACAAACAGGCCCAGAAAGTCTAACTGTCACATCATCTCACCCAGGAGCTTGCTGTGAACATCAGACTCTCCTACATGCTTCTATTTGGAGTTTTGTAATTACAGCAGGTTTTATAAAAAGTCACGTTCCTGGATGGATATCTAAAAATCCTCATAAAAGCAAGAAATATTTGTTGTTCATGGAAAAGTGTTATTGACTGCTGTCTTTATAGACACTGGGCAGAGCAAAACATGAAATGAAGTGCAAAAGCCAAACAATCCTTTTTGGTGCACTGTAGTTTGCGACAAGTGCCTTTTAGATGTCTAGGAAGTGCATTGAAACAGGGAGAATCCTGAGAACAAAAACCATCCTGAGAATATAAAAGAAAAGCATGGGATGGACATATCAGCATAAAGCAAGCAAAACATGAAGCAACAGTCAACCAAGGGCAAGTTAAAAAAAAAAAATCTTAGTTTTAATGTCACTTATTTCAAGAAAGTTTCAAGAAAAGATCAGATGAGTTCATCCAATTTAACTTTCAAAAAGTCCTGAACTATACTGAGGATTGCTAAGGACACACAAAAGGAATCTTTGGCTATACATAAGTAAGCATGCGACATTGTTTAAGGACTAAAGAAAAGCAATCTTCCTGTTCTTCAAAAGAGTAATAACTGAAGAAACTAAGTATCCTTCCTAAGGGCAACACAACCAATCCTGTACATTCCTAAAGTGAGTTTCCTGTCAAGTAAAAATGACGAACATTTACTAAGCACTCTTCCTTGAGTACTCTGCCTTTAAACAAAAAAAGTGTGGGCAGATGAGCAAGATAAGATTTGGAGAGCTCTCACTTGGAGTGGCCAGATCTCTACTGGCTTGATGTTGCAATGATCCAAGTGTTTTCTAGGGCTAGTGCTGGTAGGTTCTAGAGCCCAAGAGCTGACCACACTCTCCAAGATGGGAGCTATTTGTCTAGAATTGTAAATATGACCCAGATAAAATCCACGTTTCCTGATGAATGAAAGAAAATACACAACCCAACTGTATTTGGAGAGTTCACAAAAAAACATTTCAACTCAAAGATTGACTTGAGCACCAAACAAAAAGAAATGTGAACCGTGAACAGGTTTGCTGTTGAAATTCCAGGTCTATAACTGACAGGAGGTATAATAAAAAACCTGAACAGAATTTAAGATCTCAACCTCTTCTACCTTCACAAGGCTGTCTGTCAAAAAGGCAACACATCTTAGATGTGAGGAAGGCATGACCGAGGGGCCAGAGGCTCCCCTCCTCCTTCTGAGAATATCACAATACAAGGCATTTATACATCTGACCAGTACACTTATTTTTTATATATAAAGACTGAATATTATGACTTAAACAAAAAATATATATACAACATGTAAAAAAAAGCCTTAAAATACTTTTAATCACGACAACCAAAAATAACAGCATAGCCCATGCAAAAGAAAAAAAATCCAAAAAACTGAATGATGGGATGAACAAGAGGAAGTCTGGCGGAACGTTTAAGTTTTTTAAGGGATGTCACAATATTATTTTCCATTATGTCGCTTCAGATAATGTCAGCTTTCAGATAATTCATCTCATTATTCTTAACCTGAACTTCCTTAAAAATTATTTCATTTCAGTTCACATCACTTCACTCTTACAATAGCCTCTTTTATTTTTAAAATAGGAAAATAAAGGATTCTGCCAGGTAATTTCCTTTTTCTCACTTTCAATTAATAAACCAACTCCCACACCCAATTCAGGAGCACCATTTGCAGAACCAAGAACAATCGAAGGTGTCTTCTTTTAGACTTACTAGCTTGAGGTTTGAAGTATCTCCTTGGTATGAAGCTAAAACTGTGAGCTCCAGGTGAGAGACATAACTGTTTAACAGGAAATGGACCATGCTACTTTCTTTGCTATCTTTATGCTGTGGCTTGATTCGTATTTTTCCAAATCAGTAACTGTTAAGTTCTTACTTATAGGAAAAAGACGTTCCCATGAAAGCCATCATCAGGGAGGGTACATAGTGTGTCCTCACAAGCAGTATATAAAGGAGCAGCACAGCAGGACCGCCTTAGAGGCTGACGGAGAAGAGACCTGGGGAAACCTCAATCTGCCATCTGCCCCATAGCTTATCTTGTTTCAGTCCTGAGACAACTCCAGGACATACTCCTAGGGTTAAAGGTCAGGCCCTGGTCACCTGTAAACACTCTGGTTAGGCTCCAGAAGGGCTCCCTATTTAATATTAGGGAGAATTGCTTAATCAGTCAATAATCACTGACTTAAGGTTAGGCCATGCCACCTAACATGGAAGCTGAATGCAGCCCTGGGCTTGCCCACTAAAGGATCCATGGTGTGGGTAGGGAGGAGAGCATGGGGTCAGGTCTCCAAGAAGAGAGAAACTGGAGAGAGAAGTCTGCCTTCTTTGTGATTCTGTAGGGAAAGGATACAATGCACAGAATAAGGACAGTCATTCCTTGTTATGGAATCAATAGGATTTTGGCACAGAGGAAAGAGACAGACATATAGATTCCCTCTTAGTTTTATGTAACCAATAGGTTTTCTAAATGTAAAAGTCTCTAGTCAACTAACTCTGCCTCCAATGGGCAAAAGAAGTTGTAAGTATTTGTTAAGCATTCTCTTTTAATGAGTTAGGTCAACATGTATCGTTGTGTACATATGTGAAAGGAGATCCTAGGAATGGGATGTGGTCTGGAGGGCAATCTTGATGGCTGGCTGGTGGAGAAGCTGAGTGTTCATGAGAGGGTGCAGGTCAACATACTGGGAGATAGTCATCTTACACTTGGAGGAACAGCTAAAAAAAGAAAGACAAAGGAGTGACCTGCTCTGTTAAAATTAAAGACAGCAGCCATCTCCTCATCTGCTTGCCCTAATCTTGTATATCTAGAAACATTCATCGCAGGGTTCTCTGTACATTTTAGGAGTAGCTTTCAGAGGTATAACAGCTTCAAAAGGAAGATGTTGTTAACATATTTCATTTACTGCTTTTGGCTTCACTATGTAGATTATTTGTATCCCACAAAAGTCAGAATGCAAATCTGCACAAAAGCTATCTATGAAGCATTTCAAAAGTAACAGGCCATTTTTTTTTTTAACCCTTTTCCTATCACACCCTCTATCATAGAGGGTACAAAGTCATCTCACAAAGCACAATGACGGCTGTACTGCCTGGTGCTCTAACAGGTTTCTAGGGAAGAGATTATCTGATCTCCGGACCTTATAAAAAGCACCTCCAAGAGACCCTGAAACAGACATGTGCAGTACTATGTGGACTGTTCTTTGTACCACAGATTTACCATCTGTCAGCATCTGAGGGAAGCCCACCCCTTCTCCAGACTCATAACATTGTTGCATAACACCAGTGTCCATGATGCCACGCTCAGCATCAACTGTGGGAGTGTGTGAGGTGACTGACAGTTCTTCTTCTTAGAGGCAGGGCATCCTCAGTGAGCTGTTAACAGTTACCCTGCCTCTTGGGGATTTCTTTCTGAATCTGCATGCTCAGACTACCCCCATATGACAGTATGTTAGGAAAGAAATCAGCTATATATAGTCAATAGCATGGCTGAGAGTGACTGGTGTGGTTTGGGAAAGAGTAGGTCTCTTTGGCTTCTCTGGGGAATGCCTTTTGCACTTGAGATGCATGCTAAGGAAACCGCTCCCACTGATGCCCACGCTGACCTCACAGCAATTCCTGAGCCCCTTCTGGTGCCTGAGCACTGCACTGTGCAGAAAGGCCCACAACAATAGGTGGTGATGAATCTGGTCAGGTTATCCAGGGTCATCTGTCTCTGTGACACAGCAGGAACTATACTTGTGAGATTTGGCAAAGATCACACACCTGCTCACACTTCTCACCAAGGCTCTACTCCTGCTAGGTGACACCAAGGAAGGGACCACACTGGAGGCAGCTTAGAGGCTTTCCCAAAGACCTGAGACGACCTTGGAAATGCAATAATATTGTGACACCTCAGACAAGTTTGACAGGTAGCTTGTTACCTGGGAGAGTAAGAGCGCCTGAGAGCCTTGTGGGAGGGAGCGGTGGGGATGGAGTTAGGCTGAGAAAAGGGAGGTGGGTGCTTCGCTAAGCCGTCGGCACTCCAACCCCATAACCGACTGCAGTGATCAGAAGAGGAAAATCAGAGAGAGAAATACAAAAGGCAAAGGGGAGGGGATGAGGAAAGCACTACACGCTAAGTGTCTTAGTCTCCTCTTTCTTTGACAAAGTTCTATTAAAATTAATCAGAGCAAAATTAGCACTTCACCATACAGAGAAAAGAACAAATTTTGTTTTACAATTTGGCCCTCGATGAGACTGCTTTATTCTTTCCCCTCCCAACCATGGAATGTGTTTACTACTTAAAATCACATGAGATTCCAAGCGTGTCTATGTGTGAGACTGTGTGTATCTGTGAGTATGAGGGGGTGTGTGTCTCTGCATGCACTGGGATGGACATAACAAGCACGATACACAAGAAAATATGGATGCTCACCTTCAGATAACTAACTCATCAGTTATTTTAGAAAGAACCAAAGAAGAATCATGGGGCCTCAATTCAAAGGGGACCAGAGGTACTCCAGCAGGAAGACTCAGAGACTGAGCTACTCTGCTCAGAGCACTCCAGCGTGGAGCAGTGCATTCTCTGAGGCTGTGATCCAGTTGGATGGCATTCAGAGACAGCACAGCTGTTTCCTTCTGAAACAACAGCAGCACCACTAGAGGGCTAGCGTGTTAAGTCTCAGCTGGCCAGCTCAGAGTACAGGGTCATAAAAACCAAATCTTTCTGCTCATATCACCTAGTATGAGAACTGAAACTTTTGGGGGAACACAAGTATTCATCCTCCCTTCACAAATGCACTGGGTGCCTAGGCTTGCAGAGGCCCTGAAGGAAAGTTCTAACAACTGCTGCAACTCAAAACGATGGAGAAAGAGACTGGGAAAGTGGGGAGCTGGGCTAGCTGGTGATGGGGGTAAGGCCGCAGGTGAAGCCCACGGCATCAGCACCAGGCACCTACAGATCAGCCCTGCCTGCCACTGGCATGCATTGATGTCCCCACAGCAGGGGCTTCTGCATGCTAGTCTCCCCTGGGCACAGGTATGGCCCTGCTTTATAAGGAAAGTAAGGTACTGAGATGCGAAGTCACTGTGGTACAGAGGCCTAAAGACACATTGGCCTCTGTGGGGCACACACTGGGTTGCAGGTGGGGGCATAGGAGAAATGCAGGTGACACCTCAGGCTGGGCCTCTGCTTGGGGAAGGAGCAGCAGACCCACTCACCCCGAGTGTGTGGTGGGTGACGTGGTGGGGTCACCCTGTTAAGCGCCACTTTGATTCTATCCATACTCTGGATCCTCTGACAAGAGAATCACTAACAATTACTTCCTATTGCTAGGGACATACACGCTGTTTACACAGAATCATCTGCTCTATGACATGTCTGCTGAGAACATAGAGCAGACCAGATTATTTCTGAAGCCCCTTGCAACTCTGTTTTTCATTTACCATAAAATCACGAGGTAAAATATAAATATGTCTTTCACAATGAAAGAACCTAGCACACAGATCTCTTCTCCAAATCCCAAGTAGTATTTGTGCATTAGTTGGTAATAGGTAGTTTATTCTTTCACACAGAAATGGAATGGAATATTTTACAAAAGTTTTGCCTATTATCTATAGCATCTCTACTACTACTGGGTTGATAAAAAACGACTGCCTCACTGGTGAGATATATACATACATATATATATATGAGACAGGGTCTCGTTCTGTTGTCCAGACTGGAGTGCAGTGGCATGACGATGGCTCAATGCAGCCTCCCTGTCCTGGCTCAAGCAATCCTCCCACCTCAGCCTTCCAAGTAGCTGAGACCACAGATGTATGCCACCATGTCTGGCTAATTCTTATTCTTTGTAGAAACAGGGTGTCACTATGTTGCCCAGACTAGTCTCAAACTCCTGGGCTGAAGCAATCCCCCCATCTTGGCCTCCCAAAGTGCTGGGAGTACAGGCATCAGTCACCATGTCCTGCTACTAGTGATATTTTTTTAAAACTATCATATTTATCATTTTAGAATGGTTTCTGATTCTCATCATGATCCAACTATAGAATTTTTGGACTAAAAAAAAGTTCATTTTGACAGTTAAAATAGACTGAAAACAGGCCAGGTGCAGTGGCTCATTGTGTTAGTAATTCCAGCACTTTTGGGAGGCAGAGGCAGGCAGATCACCTCAGGTCAGGAGTTCGAGACTCCATCTCAACTAAAAATACAAAAATTAGCCAGGTATGATGGTGTATGCCTGTAGTCCTGGCCACCTGGGAGGCTGAGGCATGAGAATTACTTGAATCCAGGAGGCAGAGGTTGCGGTGAGCTGAGATCATGCCACTGCACTCCAGCCTGAGCAACAGAGTAAGACTTGGTCTCAAAAAAA